TAAACTCACCGCTCCAACCTGCATCGCAACTTTGTTGACACCTCCATGGGTGGGGCTTCCATAAGCCATGCAATCCCGTGAAATGATGCGCTCGATTGACCATCGGGGGTTTGCAGTGTTGACCATTGCAAGAGTTGAGCTCGAGTGCCAAAAATAGTCTTATTGAATGTGCCTGAGGTCCATGCTGTATTGGGATCAACTTTGAAGTTAGTAGTTAGTAGATGCTTGAATCCTTCTATTTTGGAAGCTTCATTTTTCAAAAGGGAATGAAAGACAATGTGCGAACCACACCTCCTTTCAAGGTCCACCCATGAGCTGTGTCATATCCCCAATTCTCCATGTATGGCATATTTACCAGCATTCACCAAAATTTTTACTTAGGTACATATTCCATACATGGATCATATAATATATGGGTATCTAGTCATGGCCCATGTGCGTTTGAAACCCATCGCAGGTGATGGATGCTTCGAGCCAGCCTTCGCTTCCCATCTTTTGGGATCTCTAGGACGAGGGGCGAGCAGTTGCAAGGAACTGCAAGAAGCCGCTGCAAGCGTGGTGATTGAATCAGGTGGAAACTGCAGCCACTGGGAATTCCCAAGCTTTTTCCTATTGTTGCTTAATTGGTGTACCTAAGATATGGACACATGAGAATGGCAGCCAAAACATAAGACTTACAGGGGGGTCATTTCATTTTATATGTTGGTTTCCCAGAAGCTATTACATTGGGAGCCCTATTAGGTTGAAAGAAAAACATGGGTTTCCTTTCTTCCCACCAACACTTCATAAGGCGATCTAACAAAACGAATCGCACGAACTGGTGGTGGAGGGAAGCACCCCCAGAACATCGAACGCGACCTCATGAGGGCACTGGAGTTACCCTTAGATTCTCAGGAGTAAAGCAATTTTAGTGTTTTATATATATATATGTAGTTTTTTCTTCGGGTTTGTTATTGGGAATGTTGGGGAGAATGTGTTTTGTTTCTACTACTTGAGAAACAAAGATTGAGGACTTACACTGGATAGAGGTGCCCGTGAAAGATTTGAAGAAACCAAAGCACCGTACAACAATGCAAATCCCATTTGTCTTGGCCCACGAAATGCTGCATTACCTTGCTGAAGCTTTCTTGCACTGTTAGAATCTTTTCAGGGTTGTTTCAGAATCCTACAGCTCAACGTGCTCCACGTGTGCATATATATATATTATATGATTAACATTGCGCAATATTAGCTCCGTTATATTTAATATGGTAAAGGTTTCCCACCAGCCACCCAGGACACTCAGAAAGTTGTTATCCCAAAGTCTTCCATCAAGGAGTACTGGGCTCACTGGAAGAAATTTTGTACGCATCATGAGGCAGCAGATGATGGGAACCACAGTCCAATTGGGCTTTTTGGGGACGACGCGCGGTGGTCCTTAGCAGGGTCAAAGATTATTTGCGTGCTTCTCAACCAAATCTTGGACCCCAAAACCAGACTCTCAATTCATTATTAGCAAAGCATTATTTTTCCATTTTTGGATGTGTAGTACCTTAAAAGTTTTGTGCCAAATGATTTAGCTAGCTATCTGATATACTTTCGGTCCAAATTGAGGACTGCCTAGCACTCGCTTCCTGCTCTTTTGCCTCCGGGTTGAGCTGAGTCTTGGCACATCAACGATCGATCCACTTTTTCGTGCTCAGGCATGGAGCCTTAACGTTTCTCAAATCCTTAATGTACTTTTGGGTTGTTCTATTTTCAAGTAGTACTGGAACAAGAGATTTTAGCAAGAAAAAAACATGCACAAATTTTATGTTTGAAGAAAGGGAGCTTGCATGCAGCTTAGGTTGCATACCATGGTGTTTTTCCAAGCGTCGATTGGGACGGCAACAAACTTCATGGCCGGTTTGCTACTTTTTCTGGGCGAAGGATTAGTGGTGGTCCTCACTGCTTGGTCGAACTGCGGGGGGACTGGAAGTGGCACAAAGAGATGTGGAATTTGAAGAATAATTATGCTTGCCGCAAAATTGGCACTGGTATCTGTTTTCGTTGCAAAGCCTCGGCAAGGGGAGAACACCAGTTCCTTGTTGTTTGTTCAGAAAACATTGTGTTATATATATATATTAGGATTGGTTCCCTGGACACTTCTTTAACGTGTTTTTGCTTGAGATTATTTGGAGCCCCACTCTCACCAAGAAATGGCAAGGTTCTCACGTTTTGCAAACTTTTTGAACATCCCTCGGCTGAGTACTGGTGAGTTCTTTACAGTTGCCTTGACCCTCGTCTGGTTACACAACAGTTTTTGGATTTGTTTCCCAGACAAATGACCTTTAGAATTTGTTTGCATAATTTTGACGATTGGGGTTGTTGTGAAAATGCAGGAACCGATACATTTGCCCCATTTCCTTCGTGTTCGGCTGGATGCCCAGCATGGTGAAGTTTTGCTTGATGCATGTACTTCATCTTGGGCTACTACATTTTCTCAACGCAGCGAGTTTGATGTTGCTGCATGAGCATGGATGGTTTGGTTCCCCAAGAATGTCGATCAAAGACATGCTTGAAATTTTGACCCTCCGTTTTCGAAGGTGGTGCAGTGTGCAGGGAATCAGGCCTTGCAAGTGGCTCCCAAATATGTCTTATATACATGTGTGTATATATACCGGGATGTTTCAAGTTAATGCTTTTCTAACCCCAATTCTATAGGAACATTTACCAGCATTCACCCAAATTGTTACCTAATAAATGTAGGGTACTCATGGTGAATTAACACGTTGATATACATCATGATAAACTATATTATACAATATACCTGGGCCTTGACAACCCTGAAAGGCACACCCAGCCGTACATCACCAGCGGCTTGCTCCATCGGACGCAAGGGGAGTTTTGGGAGCTGCGGTTGAAGGCTTGGAACAGCCGAATTATGACTGCTTTTTTGACTACCTGTTTGAATGCTTTGGTGGGGTCATTAGCACTTGATCAGCGACCACCGGAACTCCTTCTGACTACGGCAACTATGAATTCAATATCAATTTGGATGCTGAAACTTGAGGGGTGTGGGCGATACCTTAGTGGTGAGGATGCGCAATGGCTGTGGACTGAGGGCAACCAGTTTCTTGCCTAGCTACCTGTACATGACAATATGCCTAGATGAATGGGGATGAACCAACAACCCAAAAAATTTTTAGCTTTGGCAAATCACTTTTGGCAAGGTTTCTGGAGTACTACAGATGTGCTGCACAAGCCTTCGTGGAGAAACAAAGGCTGTTCTTACCGCTACGTCCAAAAACACATGTTCCTGCAGTTTGTTGAGCATCTTTTGCATCTTTAACATGTTGGATCCTGTTGGTGGTGGGGAATGTAGTTTAGTTTGAATTTTGTTGCGCAATGTTTTGTCAGCACGCAAGGCATACCAAGAAATATGTTTGGAAATGCTCATCACGCGCCTCAATGCGCGAACGTTTCATGGATACATGGATGAGGATGCAATGGGCTCAGTCAAATCCATTTGCAAAAAAACCCATCGAAGCTTAATGGAGCTTCGGGTTATGGGCAGAATTTTGCTGGGTTTAAAGGTGGCTGGCCAATCAGTCCGTGCTCGGTAGAAAAAAAAGGTGCTTTGAACTACCTTGGTGGAACTTTTGTAGGTGTTTTCTTCGAACATGCTTATCTGACAAAAAAATCGGATTTTGGATGTAGGCCCCTGGTGCTTACATTGGCAAAATCGGGTGGCATGTAGGCATCTGGAGCTAACATTGTCGAATGTTGATCATATTTGCACACGTTGGAGCCGTAGGGTAATATAATATAATTTAATATAATTTAATATAATATGATATAACATAGTATTTAATTAAATATAGTAATATAATCTAGTATTTAATGTAATATAGTATTTAATAAATTTTGATATATGTATATAAAACCAACAACAATTCGGGTGAGCATGTGGTAATCAGCTCCATGGCTGGGAATCCCCCCACTTTGCATGGAGGTTGACCGGATTTTCCAGCCAGGGACTTGGTTGGTTAAAGGGATGCAGAGCTCCGACGTCTTTGTTTCCAAGAAGATTTTCCTGCGATTGGCGGGTACATCCACACATTAGAATTCAAAGAATCACCCCCAAAAATCATTGACTCGTGTCCAAAAGTTGTGGCACGTGACATTTGTTTTGCACATCGTTTTTGTCCACTAGATCCATCATTGTTGGTTTTATGCCCTTTTCCAATAGCTATTGGCCGTATTGGTACCCCTTGTTTTGGGTTTTGTTGGGCCATAGCCCACTGGACAGTTGTGTTTTGCGAATACCCTCTGATAAACATTTACACAGCTATGGGATTTCACGGTTTTTAATAGGTGAATCAACTATTTCTATGTGCAATGTTCAATAGCTATGTTAGATTACCAGAGGGTAATCATTATCATGTATTAGTAATATATATATATAGACAGTAATCATTATCATCATTATTGTCATTCTCGTCTCATCATTATCATTTTAATCATGCTATTATCATTAGTTGGGGATTACAATGGATATGATTATAATACATCATTACCATTATAATTATACATCCCCAATAGTCATAATCATTGTAGCTCATGGATTCTATTAATGTTATTAGTTGATACTTATAATACTTGGGGATCAGTTCTTAAAATATTACTATTTGATAATATTATTGTTTGATAGTACTAATAGTTCTATTAACTAATATTGATTATTTTTACTAATAAGTTTACTTATAGTATAGCAATAATTATGAGAATGATTATTATTACTATTTAATAGTTGAGACCCAACTATTATAATATTATAATTATAATTCCTAGGTCAATCTTGGATGGGTAGAAACTGGTCCTTTAGTCTTTTGGTTTCAATGGGTATATCTACATTCACCAGCTAAGACTTTGATTTTTTGCAGGGTATCTAAGATTGGCCATGATTAGGGGATCAGTCAAAAAACTCATCATTATCGGTACCCCGCTTGCCGCGCGTTGCCGCGCCACTGCCGCTCAACAGCCGTCTTGTTGGACCCCCAAAACGAAACCAGCCATGGCGATGTTCCCGGCCGCAGGGCTGGTATCTCGGCCGCTTTTGGAGTGGGATATATGGCGAAAATATGGGGAACATATGGGGAAAATATGGTGAATGGGTGGGGAATAGGTAATTTAGTTTGATAAACCAACAAATAAGGAGTGGGGATGTAGGATGGAACCAATGGGATACATGGGACATTTTTTCGGTATAGCAGCCTCACGTCGCGACGGTGGAAATTGGATTTGGGGGAACTATCCGACATAACGAACTGGAAAATCGCATTCATGGGGAAATCAACTGTTTCTATGGCCATGTTCAATAGCAAACTGTAAACGTTTACCAGAGGGTAATTGCATAGACCAACCAAAACTTGGGATGTCATTGGTGTAAAACATCAGTAATCAAGCTGGGTGAGTAAGCTTGTGCCCCTCCAGTGATGTTTGTTGGTTAACCCACATCAAATGTATGAATTCTGGGGAATATGTGGGGAATATCTGGGAACAGGGGATAAAACCAAGAATAATGGATATAGTGAAGAAATGTGATAGAACCAGCGCATCAGTGGGATATTCTTGGTGTGTATATATATATATTATAAATAAATAAATATATTTATATATATATATAAGTATAGAAGTATATAAGTATATAGAACTATATATATATACACGTAGATGGGATATTACTGATATTATCAGATTTAATGAGGATATGTCATGAGATAAAGACTCGGTGGTGCCCCAGTTCGTTAACTAAGTTGGTTCACAAGTAGGTTGACTGATGTTAACTGGGACTTTCAGGTATGGTAGATATTGGTAAAGTTAATGGGGGTTATAAAGCAACAAACATTATTGGGGTTTTGACATGCTTTGACCGCATGGTGGACGATTATGAGCATTGATGAGCATTGATGTAGATGGTGATTTGACAGAAAACAGATGCCAAGAAACATAACGTCACCAGTTAATTGTAGCTGTATGGCATGGCATCAGAAATTGAAATGTAGATTGATTCAATTCGGATGCAAGATCATAATAGTTCTCCGTGAACTGGTTCAACAATTGATTCAATAGAATGGTGGATTGGTTTTATTGGGAAAATCCTCACCGGAAACCATGGATTTTCCCATGAAATATGGAGGTGTCCTGTAATTTTTCCCAAGAAAACCCATCCATTCGCTGTGCATCGAGGCCGCGGCACCGCTCTTCGCGGTACCCCAGGCCATGGGGATGTTAGCATCATGAGCATTTGGACATCTTCGAGAACAACAATTCAAAAAAAATAGGGATTGAACATGATTGAAGCATGAAAAATCATGGGATTTCACCAATTTCACCAGGAAATCATGTGATTTCAGCATCTGCGAAAAGGTGAACCATGGGAATCTCCGATCCGCCGATCCGCGGCAGGTCATTGGCCGTGGACCGCCGGTCGCGCCGGCACCGCGCGCACTGCGCGGCACGGCGCAGCTGGGCGTGCGACGACGTGCCGAAGGTCAGTGGATGTTCGTTTTCACATCTGCAGATGTGTATAGATGTGTATAGATAATATGTTTAAAGATATTGTTCTATCTTAATCATTTATTGTAGAGATATGAATCATATGTGAAATATTATAGTTATAAATATATTATCATATAGACATGGCTATATTAGTGTATTTTGCATGTATATACATATATACAATATATATATATATATATATGATGCATTTAGATAGTTAATATGATTCAAGTGATTTGTTATACCGTATATATTTGTACTATATATAACTATGTATATACATAATATATATATATATATACACTTGCATGTACATGATGATGAATCAAGGCACCATATTTGCCAAGCAGCACGTGGCAGGCGTGCGCTTCCCGGCCGCGGCAAAACAGCCGCAGGCCGTAGAAGTGTCGCGAAAGTGTCGCGGCGAAGATTGCGTGGTGAGTTCGTTGTTATAACCCAAATTAGTATGCGGGTAAATTTAGGATTATAGAACCCTAGGAATTGGGGAATTATCCTAGGGTTATCACATAATTAAGCCGTTGTAACCCAAATTCCGAATCGGGGACTTGGTGAGTTATGTGGGAAGTCAATGCTGATTCAATTGGGATAGAACTGGATATACATGGGCATGCAATATCTATGTATATCATTATATCATTATATTAATGTGTATCTATAATAGAAAAATATATATAGATAGACCTCGAAAATGTGAGAACTCTATGTATAGAATATATGGATATTCATGGATATTCTATATTCCATAACGGGCATAGGCATATAATATGTAGCCTCCCCAGGTTCGAAGCCCAACAGTTGGACCATCCCGGAAACATCTGAAACTGTCTCTATTTATAGATGATTTTCCATAGTTACAAGGCACAAGGAGTTGTATGATACAGTTACATTCATATGTGTATATATATACATGTATAAATATATAGATATACATATATAACATATATATATATATATCTATATATATATGGGTAAATCATAACGGTGATATCTTTGAAAGCCCAGGGATGATCCCAGTCCTGACATGTTGGGTGAAATCACCAACCAGATACAGTCATTACCTGTAACATGAGGTGAGTTAAACAAACAGATTGTATCTAATCATACATATATATATATGTACGATTTCCCATTTACTGCGGCGATTCTCAGATTTGATCAATAGATAAAACAATTTGCAGAATACTTCATTGATTTGTTTTTTCTTGGAACTTGTGAAGGTTATCCGCCCCTCAATCCATTCCAGTGGTTCGAAACCAGTTTCTGATGGATTGGATTAAACTTCACAGCACAATCTTCTATTAAAAAACAACTAAAGCTAAAATATCTACTCAACATGTTTCCCCTTAGCTAAGTTGAGTTATCCCTATCTATAGTTACTATCGTTGAGCCACATACTAAGACACCTATAGTCTAGCCACGACCTATTTCATTGTGAAATCCAGTGAATCCGCTGCAACTCTCCAAAAAATGGGCCGCTTGGTTTTGATAAATTTTCACAATTCGACCCTGAAAACAAGCAGTCTTTAGTGGAAACTCATCTTGAAAAACCCCTAACATAGGCAGGGTCGAAGTGTTAAACTACTGGAGAGTTTTTGTTGGATTGAATTCCATTCAGCAGATGAAGGCAACATATTTTGGGAATGGGCTGAGGCCAACTATATGTTTGGCAAAAGATTTTGAACCATGATCTAAAGGGACCTTAAGAAAATTCAACCAATATTCCATGATGTTCATGTTTTATCTATATGAGGGTTATAAGCTTAAGCCACACCCATGACCTTTTCAAACAGGCTAAGGTTTGATTTCCAAACAAAGTGAAACATGTCCATTCTCTGATGGCAGTAGTATCATTGGTTCCTCCTCATTTTTTCCATGAAAGACGGCCAGAAATTTGATATGTTGATGGTATGCCCCAAATTTCATATACAGCCATGAGAATATGTCCTATTTTTCTCGTTATGCTGTCATGCCCAGTTTTTTTGCTGGTAAATATTTCCACTTGAATTGAAGAGTATTAGTAAACCATTCACATTTTCAAACAGCAATAGCGTCCATATCCACTATTATTATGTTTTTTATTTTAAGTTCCCATTTTGGCTGGTGAATACCACTATTGTTACTGGTCATTTACCGTTTGGATGAAATTTCGCAATACATGTGCATTTTCCATCATTTTCCCATATGCCAAACTTACTGGTGATTTCTCCAGTTGCCCGTTTTCTACAACTTTTTGCACAGTAACTACTGTATCTTCAATATATATATATATTATCTATTGCCTTATTTCAGGTGCGTGAATCATTATAATTGACCCAAAACAATACCTATATCATAAGAGAATATATTTATTTATATATACAGATTTATTTCTTTATAAAATATAGTATACATTTATAATATATATATATATACACAGAATATACAATATATATATATACATACAGATCATTATTATATATATATATATGGTTTCATTTTCCGATGGCAATGCCACTGGCATCGATGGACATGGGTCAAATCGCTCTGGCTGTAAGGTGGCGTCATCGGCTGCTGGCGGCCTTGGGCGTCGCTGCAGCGTGGCTTTGGCCTAAGATGGCCTATGCCAGAGTTGCCAAAAGGCGGGAACGAGTGGCACCCTTGGGATTGGCAGAGATCAAAATCAGATCATGTGGGTAAAACATGGTAAAACACTGTCATAAACCATGGCTGGGACTGGTTTAGAGCACATTGATTCTGAAATTGGCAATGGTTTATCATTGATCCACATTAGCCCTAATTTGGATGGTTAAACATAGACATTCCAATCTGTTGTCCCCCAGGGCTTGAACAAATTGACCCGTAGCCACATCATTTCCATCCCATCCCACTACCGTGGGTATGGGTTATATAATCTATTAAAACTGAAGAGAATTTGTGCTCTCCCTGCACCTTGAAATGTTCACCCATTAACATTTAGACCCATGATCAGGAAAATATAGGAAAATGGTCACGATGTTTTTATTGTGTCCTCAAAATCCACCAAGCCAAGTGCCAGATATTGGTTGAACTAGCAAAATACCCATAATCTATAGTGGTACGACCGGGAATGCATCATCATAGTAAACCCCCCCAAAAAAAGATAAAAAGATGCCGAACACGAGAAAAATTGACCTTTAAAGTTTCAGCACTAGCAGTATTTTCCTTTCCTTTCTTGTTTTTCCGGGGTTACCTCTTGATAGATCCCTCTTGATAGATGCAAAAACAACCTCACTGCGACATCACGGGGATGTTCGGAATTGGATTGGGGTATAGTTACCCCAAGTGGCCGGCCAGTTGGGAAGATTGTGGGCTTTATTTCAGATGAGTGAATTACGAACAAATAAATCCAGAACAAGAACACATCCAATAAGAAGGAATTTTACCCGTGGTAAGATTATTAAAAGATAAATCCGTAACATATATCTTCTTTGAATCCATTATTGCTGAAACATAACACTAGCACATTTTAACTAACACATTATTTACCTTGGTAACGTGGTTATTAACAATAATAACAGTAACAATGTCATAGACCACCCATGACTGGGAATGGTCAACATATCACCTATAAACATGGTGATGACTGGGGGAGGGTTTATGGTTTTAGCCACATTAATCCCAATAAAACCATAGATAATAGATTATCTATGATATAATATAACCATCATAGATCATTGGTTATATTATGAATGGTTATATTATATCATATGGTTATATAACCAGTTGTAGTTGTGTTGATTTATACATCATAGATCAACCCAACTATACATACAACAGTAGATACATGGTAAACATGGCATTGTTTTACCCACATTGGCCTCATCTCCTCAGGGTTGTCAGCCGAGCTGATGAGCGAAGGGCTGGGCTCTACACAGTGCCTGGGAAAACAAGGGGTGACATGGGTGATTTTTGTGCTCGAAATGGAGAAATACATATATACATATCATGAAATATATAGAAACACAAAGAAATATATAGAAATACAATGACATACTTAGATATATATGTATATACATATATTGTTATACCGTTATACCATCCAAACACCAGCATTATGGTGTAAGGTATTTTGCAGTTGTGGAGCTGATGATGTCAGTCGGACTTACGAAGCCCAAATTCCAGCCAACCAAAAATGGGGATCGTGTAGTAGCCAACTAAGTTTCCACTAAAAATTGGTGATATTCAGGGTTGAACTGTTAATTTACCAGTAGTTTTTCCACCAACGCTAAGAA